ACTTTGATAATAATAGCCCTTTTAGAGTACTCCATCATGTTTCACCGGACGTTTTGCATACTCTAAGATTACAGCTTTTACTTACATCAAAGATGATCAGAACTCACTTGAAGAAGCCAAATCTGTGTTTTTAAAGCAAACTAGTAAGGTTATTCAGTTCTCGGACTCCCAGTGTAACATCAAACTTCAGTAGCACGTTACTATTTTACTCCGTTCTCTTCATTACTATCTGCCAGGTCCACAATTACCTATAAGCTCTCATCTCCTTCTCCATGTCATTCTTGGACGTCCAGCTGGTTGTTTTATAGTCACTTTACGATCGATGGCATAGTGCGTAACCTCATTCAGCAGTCTCCTCAGGGTAGAAACAATTCACCTCAGCTTTTATCGACATATATGTCTGGCAGTGGATTTTTGCTTGGTTTGATGACACAGTTCATAGTAGGTCATCTTTTCTGACCATTTGACCTTGAGTATGGAGCCAGCAACGGTAGCTGTTGATGAAATTTTACAGTGATCTGGTGGGTAACGCTTCTGGTGATCCACAGCCTAAGTCTCTAAACCATATAGAAGCACTCACTTGACATGAGTATTCAAAATTCAAATGTTGTCATTTATAATGAGTGCAGCAGTTTTACACATTGATTTCAGAATAATGGAAGGCTGTCTTGATATTTTGGTTCCACCTTTGATATCCTAATTCGTATCGCTTGTAGTTGAAAAAATGCTGGGTAAGTAAGTGTGAGAAGTGACTTGCTTCAGATTACTCTCACTAATGGTGATTGTTGCCTGTTATTATTGTTGGTTATGTAGTTCCACCACCCCTGTCTTCCAGCAGGGTAACCTGATGTCCTATCTTCTCTGCCTTGTCGCCTAACCCTAACCTTCAAGTTTGAGGGATTCTGGACCTAAGTCATCCGTGAAGTCCGGATATACATATATATATATATATATATATATATATATATATATATATATATATATATATATATTTGTATGGAGTCATTGATGAGGAACTACGACGTTTTTTGAATTCTACCTGTTTATATGATATTATATATTGTGTATACACTTAGACTGTTTGATAAAAGTGTGTGAAAAACTGTAATAGACATTCTGCTTTTTTAATGAATACCTCCTATTTAATAATATTTATATGTTGTGAGTGTTTTTGTAGTGAGACAGTTTCTGTATGAGTGGCTTATAAGCTCTCATGTTTATGTAACATGACGTTAGAGTATGTATACTGAAATTTGTGGAAAAAAATACAACAGGACTGAATCTATCAGCAGTGATTATCATTATTATTACTATTAGGTATTTAAATTGAAGATTTTTTAGTGACCTATGTAGACAGATAACACTTGGTAAGTGTTAGCTAGCAGCGAAATTCAGGACGAGTGTTTCCTCTTTTTTGAGAGCCCTCATCTACATATAAACGTGTCTAAATCGTATCGAAACAACAATAATGTTTTAAGATTTCATGATGTCACTTAAACGGTCTAGTGCATAACGATCTGTACGTCAATGGTTGAGTGCGGGAACGTCCACCTACCGTCGACGAGTTCCAGATTCAGTTCCCTGTCTACAGATTTCCAAACCTCATCTAGCTGCTAGGAAGCCCGATAGAGAGGGAAGTTTTGGTGTGTGAATAACACCACCACTGCTGAAACTTCAAAATTGAAGCTTGTAGCCCCACGTTTCATTTAGAACGCAAAAAAATGAAGAAATATTTCTTTAACAGAACGTCGTTTGCTAGTTTCCATTGAAAATCAAACAGTACTAGGCATTTGTCTAAGTATGGAACTTAATATAGAGTGTGAGTATCAGTGAACTGCATCAAAGGGAAACTGATGAATTGAAGTAAATAAATGAGTGTTTAGAAGCCCTACTTTTTAAATTCTGAGATTTTGGAATCAAATTCACTAATGAATTTCATTGTGAACTGGCGTCAATCAAAGAGCACTGACTAGACATCTTGGGTACTTCTAAAGAGTCACAAGTCAGAAAATAATACCTGTTTAATGCTGATTGGCTTCCAGTGATCTTTTGTCTAGTCAATGTCATCTCATGGAAAAATGTACACGAATACTAATCGAGTCTATACAAGAGACTTACGAGACTTTCACCGTTGCATGAAAATGTTTATTGTTAAGAAGTTGATGCAACAGGTGATGAATGATTGAAGATGAGATGAAGGTATGAGTGGCTACAAGGCTCGAACCTATGATCTCCGAATTACTAGTCTGTCACCTTTGTTCCTTTGCATACCGACTGGAAAATACCGCTTCAAGCACTAGGTTTTAAAGTTTCAGTAGCCGTAGTGTCTTTTTTATGGGGTAAGGTTGATAGCTTGATGCCCAACCTGGCCTCCTTACTAGGCCTACCATATCGACTCAGCGAAGTTTAGGAGTAGTGCACCAGTCGGGAATCAAACCTACTTCATATGCGTGGTAGGCGGGCATTCTACAGACTGAACCACGGACCATAAGTGATATGTTATTATCAGTTTGTCATCACTCTGCGTGCCTAAACAGCTCTTATTCTGTCAATTTAGAAGGAGTGAACTAGGTCGTTCATCGACAATTAAACTCAGGCATTGTAAATGAAGGCGCAAACCATGTGCTTTATTTTATTCTTCTCCAAATAATTTTACCAATGGATTTCAAGTTCGTCCCATTTTGGGACTCCTCATCAGTACCTACCCACCGCGGTTCGGCCTCAAGTCCTTTAAGTTACAAGGCGAGCTCGTTAATCACTCATGCATTGGGATCCGACTCAATGGGGCAGGAATTCCGACTCCTGCCAATTCGTGATTTTAGTGTGACCACAAGCTAATATCATTGGTTAGTATTTGTGCACACACCCAACCCGGTGGACTTCACCGATCATAACTTCTCATTAGAACCCCTGTCAACTTCATCTTTCATTAAAGAGCATCAGATTATTTTATAATACTGGTCATCTTGTCTCTTTTTGCTAATAAGTTTACTGATTCACTGAAATATCAACTGTTTGACATATTCAGCACTTTTAAGCGCTGATTTTCAGCGATCTAATCAATTACAAGTTAGATCACAAGCCGACTTCAGTTGAAAAATCATTGAAAGCCAGCACAGAGTACTGATAAATTGTCTCATCCTAGAATTGTGCACTCATGATGTCAACCCAGGTATGGAACTCAGAGCAATGTGGTTACAAGGCCAGATCGTTGGTCATTCAGTTACAAGGACAAAATCCAATGGTCACCCCTTGAATCTTAACTCTTACTAATTTTCGAAATATAATAGAGCCTTCAGCCAATGTCATCAGCGAGTATTTATCCTCCGATAGGAATTGGCGGACTTCAGCGGTCATGATATCACATGGTCTGATATCAATAGGGTTATGGGTAAGTCATTATGAAGAACCCTAAGGCAATACCAAACAGTTGTCGAGTACTTCTTGCTGTTTTTTTCAGTGGCTCAGTAGCTGAGGTCAGTTCATGATCTAACTTGTATTCAAATTTGTCTAGCTAATTATAACTTAAGGCTATGTGATTAAAACTAAGTCAGAAAAGCCCAGCTAATTGCAGAATTTAAAAATTCAAATTACCAAGTTAATGTTCCGAGAAACTAAGATGGAAGCTAGACGTCATTTTTACTTTATAGATGAATGATTCATGCGTGTCTGTTCTAAATAGTCATAACAGGCTGAAAGTCTTCAAGTCATACTCACAGTTCAATTACGGTTATAATTTATTTAGATTGAGGTCAACTCGCTAAAGTTATAGTCTATCACATTCTAACCAATAAACAAAGTCCTCCTGAAGGTAAGTCGAACCCCAGTAATCCAGACTCTGATGATCTTGAACTACTAAAACAGTTGAAGGTATTTTCATCAGGCGGTTTATTCATGGAGGATATCAATGACTTGCTAAACGCTACGTGTAGCTACCTTAGTCACTGAAGATTTATTAACATCCTTATCAGTGGAACTACTTACCTTCATTAATACCACTATGAAATGAGAGATACCGCTGCTGGACTGGTCTTCACCAGCTCCCAATTTATGGATTGGAGAGGGAAAAGTGGTTGAGCGTGTTGACCACTTCACGCATTTTTGAAGTTGTACCAGCTCTGATGCATGGATTGTTGGTGAGATAAAGTCATAAATACAAAAGACTCGTGTGGCACTTGCAATCTGCAGCCATCTATCAAAGTATGTGTGTATTGAACAGTAGTTCTCTCTGTCCGCCTTGATTCCTCAAAGATATTGCCTTTGATCATCGGCGTCTACATTCTGTGTCTCCCGTGGTAATTGGTACAAAGTGATGAGTAACGATGAAGTTAGGTGTAGTGTTAGTTAAGGAGGTTAGGTCGGTTGATGATGTTGTGAAGTTACGAATATTTTGACTATTTCAAACCAAGGTCACCCTCGTCAAGCAAAGTTAGCCTCAAACAGGCTTAGGTTGGAGTGAAGAGAGGGGTATTCAAAGCTGAACTTAGCATCATTCCATATCGTTCATTCCGAGCAGTTATGTAGGAAGAAATAAACTGGCTGGTTAGTTTCCCCGAGACGCTAATAACCAATGGTTGAAAACTGTTGTTGACATAGTTCAAAATCATTCTCTATGATGCCAATCCCTTCGCACGTTGTAATGTCTTATATCCATAAAATCCTCTCTAGTTTCCATGTTCATTATTCTTTCTCCGGTACATTTCAGTTTATTATACTTTCCATGTACTTCACCCTTTTATCTCCATCTTTATAGTTGGTTTTATGAAGTGTGACAACTTGATTTGGTGCACATTTTGATGAAAATCTCTACGTTGAGAGCTCAGCCGAGTTCCTTTTAATTTTTGTTTTTTTTAATAGTTCGTTATATTTTTTTTACTCATCTCTGTATTATGCCTTTTGTCAAAACTATGTAATCCTGTTTAATGTCTGTTTTCTCCCATGCGTCTTCCACTCTACTCAAAACATTGTCCGCCCTACACCCCTCCTTTAATTTACCTCAGATTTATTCAATCAAGCAATAATGATGTCCGGTTCTGATTTATCCGATTGGGCGTTCAGTGATCCAATGAAAGTTCGTACAAGATATTATGCAATTGAACTAGGTCGTAGATTAGGTTGTCCATCAGTACAAAGCAAAGAGGTGATTCAGTTACAAGAAGCTATGTACAACGGTTATTTACGTTATATATACAAAGATCAGTATGCATTTAAACAGGCATTTGATGAATCATATGTTAAACAATATTTGAATATACCATATGCAGAGCAAACTGATGCTTATGCTGTTGTTTCGTGTTTAAGATATGATAAGAAAGCAGAAGAAATTAACAATATAGTACGGTAAGTTATAATAATAATAATAATAGCAATGATAAAGATTCACTTTCAGAATAAGGTACATTGATTTTTCAGTTTTTTAAAGATCCTTATCTCATTCAATTTCAGTGTAGATATTCGTCGAAAACCGGTATTAGTTAGGGCATCATTAATTAAACACTGGGCACTAGGCATTTGTTGCGTCTTCGTTTTCTGAAACTCTTCCAGTGGTGTTCAACTATGATACCAACACGATTCGAATCCTGAACCGTTAGATTACTAGGCCAACCTGTTAACCATTTCGCCACTTAGGCTAGAATTCAATTATCCGTGAATTTGAATTGATTGCATGAAGGATTTCATCATGAGCTAACATCAGTTAGAGAACCGCTGGAAACTGACAGCAATTAGGATTCAAGAACCATTAGATCGGGTCCCAGTGGCTCAATAGTCTACGAGCTTGCTAACCTTGTAACCAAAAGGTCCTGGTTCCGAACCCCGGTGGGTAAAGAGTCCCGAACTAGGACGAAACGGCTGGCCAGTACTCCCAGCTAGTTTTCCGATGGTTCTCTAACTGATGTCAGCTCATGATGAAATTCTCCGTGCAATCAAACAAAATCCCTATAGAACCAATGCTTGAAAATTTGAATTGAATCGACAATATTATCATATGCATTCTGGAGATTGTATTTCAACAGCTTTTCCTTCAGGAATCCAGAAATCTCTGCCAATCACTCCGATGAACATAAAAATATCTGAGTTGAAAATCTAATTCCAGTTTCATGTGACAATGCAGACCATTCCAAATCACCTTTTAGAATACATTAATAGAAATAATAAAGCATTCATAGTTTTCCGTTTAAAGAACATTGAAATCAGTTGAAAAAAAGGCTAAAGAAGAATGAAAACTTGATCATGACACTCTTGGATAAAACTTCTAGAATTGTTCTGCTGAACAAAGTTGGCCTTCCTGATAATCTTTCCTTGATTCTTGAAATAAATTGATGGGTGGTGACTAGCAGTCGAATCCAGGATGTGTATTTCTTCATATTTGGGACTCTGTCCAATCAATCAATAGGGAGGTTCAAAATGAATTAAGTAATTACTGATACCCTTTGCAAAATAGGTGGCTGTTGTGGCAAAAGTTGTCAACTGGATAACTCTTTGGCGTGTAAAACGATGGGTACTGGGTTCAAGTTTCAGTGGGAACTCCATCACTGACTCACTGAAGAATACAGGTACATCCACTATCTGACGAGTCCCGAATGAGGTGAAATATGCAAGGGATTCCACTGCTTTGTACCATTCACCAATTTAGTTCATTTGAAACAGTTTGACATTTTCAAAGCATTTGTACAAGGAGCCGACATGTCAGTCTGTGGCAAATCACGTTGGTCTCATTAATCAATGAGAAAGTCCAAAGTGAATTAAATAATTTAATCGATCCTAAGATACTGTCAACTGACGACTACATCAAGAATCAGGAATTTCAGGTCCAACCAGTTAAACATTTAGCCATATAGATTGGAATTCAATCCTCTATGAATTATGACTTCGATTAATTGACAGCATAATGATATCAACAATAATGATTACATTTAAAATGCAGACGTTATAATATTATGTAATTTCACGCTAATTTGTTTATAATTATTACTGTGTGAAATAAAATCCTGAAATAAAACAGTTTATTATTTGGTAATATACATACAATATTAACAATATTAGCTGTACAGTAATGTCAACACTTCAATTTAAAAATTCAACTGTATGAATGAATTAATTTATCGAATATCACACTGGTAACATATCTTTCAATCAAGCATTTAAGGCATAAGCTTTTTAAACAGATGTGACATATGTTACTGAAAAAATTTATAAGTAGTATAGCAATACAGACACAAGTATAGATATCATCTGAAAGATCATCGATAGCGGAGAGATGGATTTAATGGAGAAGAGAAGAGATGAACGATGTTTGTGAAACAGCATAGAAAATATGAAAGAAAGAAGAACAAGCACAATACAGAAGACATGCGTAAATTGTGATTCATATATAACATACAGCAGATTTATTCTGCTTATATCTGTTCATCAAAATGTCAATAGATTATCCCGTTGCCAAATACTCTTGTATCCTGTCATTACAGCTTAATACAAGTTTGGCTATTGAAGTGCATATGTATGATAGGGCTCTAAAACAGCAGTTTGCATGCATAACCTTCATGGTTGAAAGAAATTTTTTTCGAAGATTACGTCGTTTTTTTTACATTAATTAGAAATTCATTACAAATCAGGTAGACGTCGTGGGTGCCCAGAAATCAATTTAAAACGAAATGGAACTGTCCAGTATACTTCTCGGTCTTCAGTAATTATCTCTACCTGTCTCTCCCTAATCATGCCAGTTCTTGGCGAAATATACTTTTGTATTGATCAAAATCTCTACATATCCAAATAGTTGGTTATCAATCTTCAGCTCATTTGGAGTGCCACTGGTTAGAAGGCCTGGTGTTCGAATCAGAGATCATTGCCAGGGGGAGATCAGAGTATTCAACTATATTGCAATAAAGTGGATCCTCACCTCTGGTGATAGCTGTGTATCATGAAATTAAAAAGTTAGAACTCATAGGTCACTGAAATCTTGCCCAAGTGGTTGAATGGTCAATGAGCTTGGCTCTGTAACCTGAAGAAGTCGGCTTAGTTCCTTGATAGGCCATGTGTGTCCATTACTAAGCAGTCACAAACTACGATGAGACAGCTTTTCAGTATGCTTCATTAAGGTTTTCAATTATTCTATAAATGATATTAGTTCGTGACGAAATCTAACAACTAAAAGTAATCGAAATCTCTTCACAAACCCAGAGTCTGAAAAACAATCAGTGTTGAAGGGTTACTCTGTCTCGCTAGGAGTTGGAATTAGTGAACCATTGAATCGGGTCTCATAACTGGATGGTCAAAGAGCTTGCCTTGTAACCCGTAGGTCCTGACTTCGAACCTTCGTGGGTGCATACAGATTAAAATTACCAAACTAGGATAAAACAGCTGTTCAGTACTTCTCGATTTTCCACTAGTTCTCTAACTGATATCAGCTTGTGCCATGTCAACACAGTTCCGGTTACAACGGAAATACCATAACCTGCTGAGGATAAAGGTACATCTAGCTGAAGAAACGAGCATCCTAGAAGACTTCATCGCTAGCCATCATCGTTTATCATTATTCACTCAATGACGTCATAGTCTATAGCTCTGCATCGAGTAAACCATTTAAGTAATATTACATTTCTTTTTAAAGGTAATCCGAAATAAAGGCTATCCATACTTCATTTCACTATTTTTTTTTCTGGTGTGCGTTCTCCTACTTCACTACAGAGATATAATCCCACTTCGTGGAGCGCCAACATTTGTATGGACACCAGTAGTAGATGGAACATCTGGATTTTTTCCACGTACTCCATCTAAAGAACGTACATTAGGTAATTTTGCTAAATTACCATTACTTGCCGGTGTAGTACAAGATGAAGGTTCTTTAACCTTTCAGTTCTATTTATCACGTGAGTTATTATTCTTTTTATTCTCATGTAGCTCTGGAAGATATTTTTTAGATGTGTTTTCTTGTGTTTCATATATTGCAGTGTCTAACTGTGACATTATCTTTAGTACTAAGTTACATAATCTTTCTCATGTGATACTGTTGTTGTGTTGAAAGAAAATGTGGTGATTGTATTTTATAATTCAGGTACTGTCAGTACTTCTCTTCAATAGTAAGATACTCAGCCGCATAGTTATTCTATTTCTCAATAGACAGCAAAGTTGGTACACAGTGTGGAATACAATTACTCCAATTAAGAGCTATTGACATTACTCATTCATTCACCCATGGCTGATTTAAGTGGAAAAAGAGATTGCGACCGAGAGATCTATGGACTGAATGAGTTCCAGCATGGAATTTTCAATGGAAATGAAGCAGTTCAACTTACCACACTCCATCTAGCACAAAGTGGTAAGGAAATAAATAACGAATGTATCTGCACCTTTGAGAAAGATTTTGAGCCATATCACCAACACTCTCCATCCATTGATTCTAAGGATCTTAATGACTCAAACGAGTGAGTTTGCACCTTCTTACGCTGCTCAAACTAACTGTCAAAGATATCATGGGCTAGTTGCAAGTAGTGGTGTGACCATCACTAGCTCTTTCTCAACGTTATCCCATACCAGCTAGTATTGCTGTCGAGGCGGGAGATGACTGGGGATGCATAACACGTGTCCCAGACATCTCGATCAATTATCCCTCACAGCCTCATCCACTGACTTTCCCTGCCCAACCGCAATATTACTCGCCCTATTATACCACCCAGCATGGGAGATAGAACTCAGATACCTTTGATCAAGGACAGCGAGTGTATTTATACCTTCCACTTTCGATCGTCATGTCTCGCTCACAGCCATATAAGAGGACGAAGCGGACTGCTAAATAGTACACACGTCCTTTGGTCGACAGTCGGATACCACGTCTACCCTAGAGATGACCAAAGTTGTTAATTGTCAAAGAAGCCTTCTGTATCCATGCTGAAATTCCTTCATCAATCAGTCAGATGGGGCTGATGCAACTTTTCAAATGAATGAAGTAGTCAACACGCTCTACTATTTCACTCCCCATCTTTTAATTATAAGTCAGTATAATCCAGTCCCTTAGCATCATCTTACATTTGAGTGGACATAATCGCATTCCTAAGATTGAAGATTGCTGCTCAAACTGTTCACAAGACCCTGAATTTTATCAGTGTCTTTTATCTAGGAGTACTACATCATTCTCATTCTCCAAGTCAACAAGACTATTCCCTGGCAGTAAGTCAATTAATTCATTGGTTACTGAAGTCAGTTAAGGTCACTTTCGTTAGTAAAGCTACGATGATGTTAGACAAAAATGGGGGCAGTGGGTATCCCTGATGGACATCACTGGCTTCATCCCTTCAGGTCACGACTCCCCATAGGCTCTCACCTGACTGTGTGAGTTCGAATAGAGTGCCTTAGTTGATGCGATGTACTTTCTGGAAACTCTCTTCAAGTCCAAACATTGTCATAGTACCTCTCTGTTGGGAGGAATGAATTCCGCTTTCAGATCAAGAAATACGACAATTTTTGGACGCTGGTAAGTATACCTGTGTGGTAAAATCCGTTGAAGGGCGAATAAATAATCAATATACATACTCTCTTTCAGGTCTAAATCCTCCCTAATTTTCTATCGTTGTTGTACTCACTTGAGCAGTGTTTTTCACAGTTGTTACAGTTTATTTTGTAGATGATGTTGGTTTTATCTTCTTTCGCTGTTGAGTCTTTTGGTTAACGCATAATTGAGTGAAGTGACTTTGTTGGTTTGTGTACGATGTCAATTCCTAAAGGTTTGAAGAGTCTTGTGGTGATTTCTGAGACATCTTTTATATATGATTAGGCGATTTTCTTCGTGGTTTCCTTGGCGGCTTTTGGTTTGATAGGTTGGATTGGGGGTATATGTCTCTTGATGAAGTTCCGTGGATATCCATTCTTTTGGAAGACATCCATGAGATATCTTTCTTCAATCTTCCTTAAGGTGAGAGTTCTGCAATGAATCCTAGCCCTACTGAATAGTGTTTGTATACAATTCCTTTTGTGTGTTATTAGATTGTTGCTGCTGTAATTCAGGATTTGGTCTGCGTGAGTTGATTTTCTATAAACTTGAGTTTCTAATTCCCCTGTGATTGTTCGCCTGACTAAGACATCCAAAAATTGGATATGGATCTCGGATTCCTCTTCTTCTGTGAATTTGATATCGTTGAAGACGTTGGTTATTAAGTTGTGAGTTTTATCCAACTCATTTCTTTTGATTATTACAAATGTGTCGTCGACGTAGCGTATCCAAATCTCTGATTTGATTTTTGGAAGAATTATATTTTCAAGCCTTTGCATCACTGCTTCTGCAATCATACCTGATATTGGCGATCCCATGGGTGTTCCCTTGACTTGCTCATATATTTGGCCGTTGAATTGGAAGTATGTTGTTAGGCATAGGCATGCATTCCATCCAGCTAGTGTGTTGCATTTTTGATTGTTGTGGAAGGTGTCCGTCGTTGCTAAGTAGTTGCTCCATGGTTTCTTTTGCTAGTTTTTGTCCGATTGAGGTATATAATACTGTGACGTCAAAGGAAATCATTATTTCTTGTTCATCTATTTGGATGCCTCTGATTTTTTCTAGGAATCGGATAGCCGAGTTGATAGAGTAATCACAAGATTCCGTTAGGTGTTTTAGTTTTCTGTATAATTCTTTAGATAAATTATATGTTGGAGTTCCTGGGAGTGATACAATTGGTCGTCACGGGATATTTGGCTTGTGTATTTTGAGTATGCCATAGAATCGGGCCAGGACTGGTTGGTGTTTCTGACTGAATTACTTATTTCCCTCAGGGAATTAATTTTATTCCAACCTCATAATGTAATAATTATCACTACTGTATTTTTTTTCTATCCCTTCTTCTGATCATTAAAGGAACAGAAAACGGAAATTATGTAATAGGTAATTTGACAGATGATGTTGTAAAACGTATCATTGGTATGTGGTTAATTAAAATGAATGTACTTCGATATAATCAAACTGCTGAAGAATTGTATAATCGATATACCTACTGGCAAAATTTGGATAATAATACTGCCCGATGGAAAAGAGCTGTTGATGTAAGTATGGAATGCACTATTTTTTATCTTTGTTTTGCATTCATTCAGGGAATATATATATATATATATTATATATATATATATATATAAGGCTTGAAGTTAAATGAAGTTTTAGAAATTGTGGTGTTATGGTTAATTTTTACAGGGTGACATTCACTGCTAGACTTATATACTTAACCTTGGGTCACCTCTAGGAAGTAAAATGAATTTAACTCTTCCATTAAAGATTTATAGATTAACTTAGATTTCATTAGATAATGGGCTAAATGATTTGTGCGTCGGTGGCATAGCGGTTAGGATGCTCGCCGACCACGCAATGGTCCGGGGTTCGAACCTCGGCCGATGGACTCCTTTACCTCACTCAGCCGGGAATAATGCTGGTAAAGAGGGAAGGTTGGGCATGAGGCTAGCAACCCCATCCTGTAAAAATTAAACACTGCTACAGAAACTTCCAGCCACTAGCTTGAAGCCCTATGTTCCACTAGGGAAGGTGAAGGAAAAAAATGGGCTAAAATGTTCATCATTTCACTTATCAGAAGTGATCTTGATTTTGATTACAACTGAGTATATATTCTTCACATTAATTCTGTAATCATGAAAACAACTTCTACCTATGTATTTATATTAAGTTGGACTATTTATTTAATTTTATTTAGACTTCAGTCTATTTTACTATTATTATTTCCTTGGGTTCCGGATGAAGCATAGGGGGATTCAAAAGCACATTTCCTCTCTGTTCTATCCTGTGCAGTCCTCTTCAGCTGGATCCGCCATTGTCCATAAGCCCTCATTTCCTCCTCTTATGATCTCCTTTATGCCAACTTTGGAAGTCCAACTCCTCGATTCCTACTCCGGTTTCACTCATGATATTAGGGCGTAACGTCACCCTTTCGCATATTTGTTGGGTCACAGGTTCTTGGTTGGTTCGCAGACAGATTTCCTTGTTGTTAACCGTTTTTGGTCACTTGATATTCACTATTAGAATGACGGCAACTGTTGATAAAAGTATGAAGTAGCCAACTAGAAATGCTTTCCGTGACGCGTCAAGTTTCCAACCTATACAAAAGAACTGCCTGACTTAATATTGGTGATGAAAATCTGAATTCTGTTTCTTATTCTGATTTCAGAAGATTTCTAAACTGATTTCAGAGTGATGAAGACACTTTTTGTCCTTCCAATCCTGGTTTTGATATCCTCATCTGTGCTACCTTCAGAAGTGTAAGAAAAGACCTCTTTTAGTATAGTGAAGTCTAGGAATGGTTATCCTTACGAACAATGAGCATGAATCGCCAAGAACTAGCACCATACATGTTGAAAATTGTCAGATGTTGTAAGTTATAGGCTGGCTATTGAATTCTGTAGCAGTAGCTGGATGGCCAACAGACGTAACTTACCTCGTGAAAATCATCCGTTGGTTACTCTGTCGAATTACAAGTGTGTACTGATAAATGCTTTTAAACTAGTATGAAACAGCTGCCCAATAATTTCTGGGTTTTAATTTAATGGTGTACTAACTGAAGTCGCTTATTTGATTGGACATCAGTTGATAACTAGTGTAATGTCCCTAGTCCCTTATTCTGTGCAGAGTGAATTCTATCAGTCAAGTCTGAAAAGTGGTCACCATTCTAGATGGCTCACCATCATGGTGCACTTTGAATTGTTGATAGTAGATGGTTGGAGTCAGTCGGCAGGAATCCCTGCCTGACTTAGATTTCGTTCTAACATCAACCTTTCAGAGTGAACCGTAGTCGTGAGCCACCTAGAATGTTGGCCTCATTGCAAACGTGACTGATAGCACTCAGTCTGCTCCGAAAAAAGGACTAGAAATATTACATTAGTTGCTAACTAGCGTCCAATCAAAGCATCCAATACAGTCCTACAAGAGGGCAGTTGCGATCCCAGATAGCTCAATGGTAATGTCTCCGACTGCAGCACTGGTTTATGAGTGTTCGAATCTCAGGAGAGAAACGAGTTCCTTCAAAATTGCAGGTATGCCTTATTTACAAATGTCAACAAGCACGAAACCTAGGCCTACACACGGTTTCCTTCTGACTGATTCCATCCATTTAATGACAGAATTCTGTCAACCAAGTTTGCCGTGTGGTTACCCAACTAGATTTTGCACCATTGGGGTGAATTTTAGATTGATGTCAAGTTGTATGATTCAGTGGGCAAGAATCCCTGGGTCCAGGTCTGAAGCTTGCTGGAAGTCGTTGGCGAGATCCAACCTTGCAAAAACTTATGTCCCGCGGGAAGTGAGTTATATACTGCCATGAATACGCCGTGACCGAACTCCATCTGAGAAGAGCAACTCTTCTTTTGGTTCAGTGGAATAGTGACTATAGGAATTTCTCTGTTATACTATTGAGTCTTTTCCACAGAATGCTGATTTTTGTTCTTCTTATGTTGATAGGAGCTTTAGTCTTAACCTAAAATTTTTTGCATAACAGAAAGTGAGTTATCTGTTTTTCACTTTGGAGCTTCTGTCTGATATCATTCTACCCTTGAGATATTGAGTTAAAACCTAGGCAAGGATGTAATTAGGCATTTAACTATTTCCTGCATGACAAACTATTTTGCATTTGTCAAGGGTTAGTTTGCAAGAATTTGGTTTGTTTCAAGTCCGACCACGGACTTATATCAGTTAGAGAGCTTTTGAAAACTTAGAAGTATCGGACAGTTGTTTCCTTCCAGTTCGGAACTCATCGACAGTAGGCACCCATCAGGGTTTTAACCCAGGATCTTTCGGTTACAAGGCAAGCTCATAAACCAATCGGCAGGACATTGGTTGGTGGTCGCGTTAAAATCCTGAACTGGTAGAAGATAGAACTCATGCGCCACTAAGTTTAGTCTCAGTGGCTGAATGGTTTATGTGCTTACCAACTAGCCGGGAGGTCCTGGGTTCATACCCTTGTGAGTGCGTACTGCTAGACAAAAAGGGTGTTCACTACTCCCTGGTTTTCAATGATTCCCGAAGCGATATCAATCCATCATCAACAAAGAAACTGTTTCACATTTAGTTGTCCTAACTGTCCTAAAATACATACATACACATACGTTAACTTCTTGATACGAGTAAGCGAAAGAAATCCGTCTAACCCATTCTACTTTCACAGTTCTTTTTTATTTTATTCTCACAGGATTTATTTATTTATTTCTATTGCTAACCATTTTCTTATTCTATAGGATCCTTGAGACAATTTGTCATGATTAGTGAACTGTGATTTCAATCTAGATAACGAAGTGACAGTTGAGAATTAATCTGTTGGTCACTAGTAAAGATGCCTGGAGTTCTAGTGATAATTTGTGACCAGTAAGATCAAACAAGTTGTGTGTGAGTGACAACAAATACATCCTGGCGACAGTGGCTAGTGAATGCGATATATGCTTATAGTGAATTGACAAGAACTGGGATTCATATACCATTGGATTCCGTTCCAGTGACTGAATGGTTAAAGTGCTCACCTTGAAACCTAAAGACTATGAATCTGAGTCCTGACTGGGGTAACATGAGTGATTACTGCTGAAGAGCCACCATTAAGTACAAAACAACTGTACAATAGTCTGTGATGTCTTTCACTGGTTCCCTAACTGGAATCGATTCAGCATGATGAAGCTTGGAATCAAATCCACACTTGATAAAGTGTGATTTAATTGGTGATGACTAGCAGTTGAAACAAGAGCTTATATCAAGTTAACTTGATGTGAAGTATTTTTAATCAGTAATTTTATTCTCTACCTGTATAAAATCATTGAAACACATTCAAATAATATTCAAGTGTTGATTTGCAGGGATTTGATTGCTTTCCGGATTTCATCATGAACTGACATCGGTTAAAAAAAACATTAGAAAACCTGAGAGTACTGGAAATTCAGCTGTTTCATACTAGTTTAGGTCTCTTTAGTAGTACGCACCCACCACCAGAGTTTGAACCCAGGACCTTCTGCCTAAAAGGCTAGCGAGCTCGTAGATCATTAAGCCACTGGGACCCGGTCCAATGACCAGCCCATGAATTCCAACTTCTACCAATTCATGATATGGCGTGGCCATTATCGGCGACTATTTGTCTTCACACCCAACCTGCTGTGCCGCGATGGTCACAACTCCCCACTAGAACCCAGGTAACTACCCACCTGAATAAGGCCAGTCGCTAGTGAGCATCAGATCCATGTTCAGCTATTGGTTTGCGGGGATTTGATTGGTTTTAAGTGTTGGTTGAAGACAAATACTTGCCGATAATGGCCACTCCATATCATGAATTGGTAGAAGTTGGAATTCATGGGCTGGTCATTGGACCGGGGCCCAGTGGTTTAATGATCTACGAGCTCGCTAGCTTTTTGGCCAGAAGGTCCTGGGTTCAAACTCTGGTGGTGGGTGCGTACTACTAAAGAGACCTAAACTAGTATGAAACAGCTGAATTTCCAGTACTCTCAGGTTTTCTAATGTTTTTTTTAACCGATGTCAGTTCATGATGAAATCCTGAAACATTCAAACAAGTTTTCCTGGTGGCTTCAAGCTAACATTTACAAATTGCTAAACAGATATACCACCCGAACAGTTGCACGGCAGGATGACAGTATATGTCATTCTGATCTTCATAGAGGCTTCTCCTGAAAACAAATGTATAATTGCACGGTCAAAGGGTATAGCATCATTCAGATTACAGGATTTGTAGGGATTCTGGATTAATTTCAGTCGTTAGATTTTCGTCACGAACCAACATCATTCGGACAGATCATTAGACAACTCTTTAGTCTTGATATGGAGATTTTTCAGGAGTGCACACCCATGATCTTACCAGGGATAAAACTTAGGTACTTCAGGTCACGATACCAAGCTCGCTGACCATTCAGCCATTTGATCTGGAATTCATTGACCCGTGAATTCTAACTCTATCAACTCATAATATAGCTCTTCTCTCACTAGTGTCTTCAATGAGCGTCCACTTCACCATGACATGGTGGATCCTACTGTTCACGGCTTCCCACTGCAGCTTCAGGAAATTCATTCAGTAGCTATCAGTTAGCTGCTGAAATGAAATTGGTTTGGCATTTCAAGCTACTGAAATAAATATATAGAAAGTAGTATAGTTTTCATGTAAAAAATACCTCATTGTTTTATCACATTTATTTATTTGGTTTTTCATTTTTAGCTTATGTCAGATTTGTTAATCTCTTCACCGTTAGATGCAGTTGTAAAATATCATGCAAATCATTCACCTCCGGTTTATTTCTATGAATTTGCTTATTCAAGTCGAAATGATAAAGAAGCAACCCCGGAGACAGGTGAGTTTAATTGTTATCAGATAAGTACAAACGAGAAGGTATCATTTTTGATGGAATTTGTTAATATGATTAATAGTGTTCAATAGGTTGTTATGGCTTCATATTCGTTAAAATTTCTCAGTAGAAGGCATAAATAACTACGCAAAACCTGAAGATCACACCAAAATACACAATATCGCGTATTTGATTGATTAGACATGAGACAAGATTGTTAAGTTATTCTATTAATGAATGGCTTCGTTGATATAAGAATGAAACTTGTGGACTGTATTGCTATTGTTCCCTTGAGTTCCAAGTGTAAACATAGGGCTCCAACAGTATATCTCCACTTCACCATGTCGTTTGTAGTCCTCTTCAGTCGGCTGCATGATTGCCCACAAGCTGTCATCTCAGGCTCACCTTCAAAGTAACCCTTAACTCATAGTTTCCCATTAGAGTTCCATTCTATGGCCTGATACACGATGTCATCCAACAGTCTGCTGAGCGTTTATCCGATTTATCTCCATTTTTTATGGCATATTTGTAGGGTAACATGCTCTTGATTGATTCACTCCGATAGCTTTTTGTTGCTAAACCTTTCTAACAAGCCACCTGACCTTCAGTATGGAGCGAATGTCACAGAAATTCGAAGATTTAAAGGCGAATAAACCTGGCAGAGGAAGAAGCAGTAAAGATAGGACTTCAAGTTAACACAGTGGAGATGGAGGTGGCGAAGATAACCGAATAACTAATAACAGCAAGCACCAATCAATATCAACGGAACAAATGGTCACTCCCTTCACTCATCTACTTGGCATCATTTTAACTATAGGCAGTCGGCACCAATAAGGATGTTAGGACCACGATCGAGAAGGCTAGGTAAGGCTGGACTTCATCAATGTGAAATCAGTTTGGAAATCTGATACACTAAGCATAAAGAACATAAACTAAATTTATAATACCATTGTTAAATCAGTCAGTTCTTCTACATGGGTCAGAAACTTGACGCGTCGCTTAACACGTTTCTAACAGAATGCAGACTTTTGTGAACCGTGGTGGAATAGAATAATTTTATTTTGATAAAAACACCCAGTGATAGAGTATTATTCGCTGGCGACATTTTGACTACATTTTATTAATCATAATCATACCGAATGTGTTCACAATGAATTCCTGACTTTGCTTTATGCATTTTTCTTATCTGTTGACTTGATTGCTAGAAACACTTTCTATATCTCTGGTATTGATGTTGAGTCATTCCTGTTCCACGTGTTAGGTTCAAACTTGATAAAAAAAGAAAGTTTCAGTCTTCAACCATTTCCTCTTTCCACCTACCTATAGTACTTTTCAAAAATATAACTCTGTCCCACCATATTGTACGATTGTGGTAATGCACACATTGTTACTTCTGATCCTTTGCTCCTCCTTGGATCAGTCACTCTAAAGTTGGTTTGTAAGGTCTTAATTTGTTTCAAATTTAATCACGGATTGAAAACCAGGAAGTACCGGACAGGTATTTCGTTCTTGTTTGGGACTCTCCATCAGTGCATCAACATGCCCGCATGGCTAGGGATCGAAACTAGGAGCCATATACTATGAAGCGAGCTTATTTATCACTCAACCACTGGGACAGAATACAGTGTCCTGTCAATTCTACACCTAACTACATTCCTATGTTCTGGTTATTGGAGACAAAGTTCTAAAAAGTAGTAAAGATAGATGAAGGGGAAGGCCTACCAGTGAATCTCTCTTCATTGAATCTACATCTTACATCTGCAACAGGAGTCATAACACCGACACCGGTAATATAAGGTAAAGTAATACTACCAATAAAACGCAGCATAAGAAATGATAGAATTATTTAAACAAGGTTTTAAAGTCACTTAAATGATTGTGAATAACAAATTGTATTCGAAACGTAAATAATAATTCATAACTATGCGCTTTGATCAAATAAACTTATTCTATGGTAGGATTATAAATAAATTTGTTTGAAATTCGATAATGCGTATAATCCAGTGTGCTGAATAAAAAGTTTGATTACGTAGTAGTACTTACAAGCCATATACATGATCGGGATTGGATTCTCAGGCAGTTTACTCTGAAATCTCCCTTAGCTGGTAGTAAGCCTGGGTAAAAGAGTGAAAGTTGATTGTGGGACTAGTAACACCATCCTGTAAAATAAATATAAATATTGTGACTGGGCACTGGTTAGTAAAAGGTATCATACACCTAGTCCTTTGTTTGATGTAGACTGAATTCTGTCAGTCAAGTTTGGAATGTGGCCACTATTCTAGGTGATTCGGACCTCAGGACGGAAACAAGTTTCTTCTAGATTGCAGACATACTTTGTTGACTAGTGAGTGCCGATCGTTCCTAGCCATCTAAAGCAACACAACCATGACTGAAACTTCAAAGTTGAAGTTTGATGTTCTTTGTTCCAGTCGAAACAGAAAGGAATGGAAGACAAACGTAGTGATTTATGTACACGGCGTGAATATACTGTCTTCCAGGAAAGCCACTCTTGTATAATCACTATATAAATCAACAAAAATAGTCTATCTAATTAAATTTGGGTGAAGTCAGAGTCTTATTATTAACAGTTTATGTGAGAGTCTCTTCTTAACACAAGAGTTACTCTGAAAGTGAATAAAATTTTCAATAAAGAATTATAAAGTGTTATGAAGGTGATGGTATGATTATCAAAAAACATATAAGTGCCTATGGGAGAGGTGTTCTAAAGTTCTGGTAGGAAATCACGCCCCACGGCGTCCACTACGTCAGCCTGAAGGAAATGATCATCACTTCCACTGGTTGATAGTATAACGGCCTAAGACAGGGGTACTTGCAACGGAATCATTCTTTGGACCTCCTAATATACAAATATTGGCAAAATACGTCTACTATATATTTGAATAACGGTTTGCATGTGTCATCCCTCTTGTGCTACTTTTGTCATCCTTACTGTGCTTCTTTGTCTTCCTTTAATTTTTTATATGGTTTCACAAGCATCATTCATTTCTTCTCTTCTCAATTTAACCCATCTCTCCGCTATTCGATATTCTTGCAAACGATATACATATTTTATTTGCCCTTGTATACTACTTATAAATCTTGTCAGTAGCGAAGCATTGTGAAATGACAGAAATTAGAGCTCAAGGGCGACTGGATTTTGATCCCTTAGCTGAATAATTACTAGGTAGGACTTGCCACCTTTTTAGAACTCTAGGAGGTCATGGACACTTGCTACTAAAGAGTCTCAAGCCGAGGCGAAACAGCTATCCTGCGCTTCATAGTTATCAACGATTCTCTAAATGATACTGATTCATGAAGAAATCTATATGGAATTAAATACGTATAAAAAACCCAAAATCTAAAAAAACTAATTTTCTTTATATGCATTTTACTGAACAGACTATTCCATTTTCCTCATTAATTTGATCGTACTTAGCTTTTCAATGGAAATCACTAACTGTGCAACCAATAAGGATCATTTACTTCACTTTTAATTCGCAAACTATGTTTGCTCTAGTTCACCTCCTAGTTAGTTAATTTTCTCATTCCGAAGAGAACATAGGAATTAAATCTTTAGGCTTTGAAATTCCAGTTGCGGTTGTGTTATTTTTATGAGGCTGCATCGCTAGTCCCATGACCAACTTTCTTTCTTTAACACGACTAATATCCACTATTTGTAGTTGAGGAGTGCGTCGGCCAGAAATCTTCCCCGGAGCACATGCATGGTTGACCAGCATTCTGCCCTTAAGCCACCCATGTATTCTTATAGGATAGATTGTTTCTGATATTATTAGTCGGTTTGTGGTGACTGGTAATCGAATTCAGGACACGTGATCCCTCCATTTTGGGACTAGCATCTACAATCAATAATAGCGTTTCTGCCCAGAGTGTAAACCAGTACCTAATTTTTTCAAATGCTACAGCCTTATTCTGTGGGGTTACTGGGACACGAGTGCCACCTTCTGTGCAGTAGATGTCGCCTATTATCTGTTTAAGTTATTTGTGAATTCTGTTAAACGAAAATGCTTCGTCTCTGTTTCCATGTCGTCATCTGTTACAAATTCTTATAATGATGTCTTGAAGCTAGCATGATGTCTAGCAGTGGAATTTTCTACATCCAGGTAGTTCATTAATTTACCACAGTTGTGTAATCGCCCAGATGTTGCATTTCCTAATTATTTCAGACTATAGTAGACTAATGCCTTTATCAAGTTATTTTTTCTGCATCCGATGAAATGGCTATACTTTTCTCACATTCTACTTAGTTCACAACTTTAAAATTGATGAAACGATTCACATATTGTATCACACTGTCATATATTCATTTTGTAAATTTTTATTTTAGGTATTTATCATGGGATTGAATTACCCTTCTTATTCGGATTTCCATTTATGAATAAATCTATATGGTCAGAATTATTTGGTGAAGGTAGTGTATTACCGAAATGTGCATCAGAGGTATATGATTACCCACATGATACAAATATGAGTGAATTTTTATTAGATTTATGGACAAATTTTGTAAAGTATGGGTAAGTGAAGCACGAAATTATTTAGTTAATTAGCTTGTGATTATATTACTGTTATTATTATTCCTTGGGCTCTGAGGGGCATATAGGGCTTCAGTAGCATATCTGTGGTGAGAGAAGGCTGCTAGCCGATTGGTTGACACTAATCTACGTCAATGTCTAGGTCACTAATATTGGCCGTGAGAAAATATGAACAAGGCTGTTTCAACAACCAATCACAGCAAACTTAAACGTGGGCAAATATGATTCGCAGATAGATGGCTCCACTTTCCGAGGAACTCGAAAACAACCAATCAGAAGACTGCGTTTGTCTACTTGACTAGGCTATAATAATGTATGTGAAATTTATATAAATACGTGTTGATTTCCGTAATAAAACGATCTGTTGCCAGCCCTTGTCTTCTGTTGTTACATATCTACACGTTTTCTTATTCTCTGTGGGTTACTTTAACCCATCCCACGGTTGACCATAAGCTCTCACCTCCTCCTCGTACGATCTGCTCGATGTCACTCTCCGACCCACGTCTAACTCCTCGTTTTCCATTCGGGTTCCACTTCAATACCAGGGTAACCTGACGGTCTTCTCAGCGTATGTCTGGTCCATATCCATTTCCTTCTCCATATTTGTTGAGCAATAGGTCCCTGATTGATCCGTCTTCAGACTTTTTGGTTGATAAGTCTCTCCAGCCATTTGATGTTTGGTATGGAGCGAAGGCAGTTGCTAGTAAAATTCTGCAGTCTGATGGAAATGCATTTCTAACCAATTGGTATCAAAAATCCGAATTTTGTTCTTCAGACTGTGTATAGTAGATTTCCAAACTGGTTCCAGAGTCATTCATTTCCGTCTTGCTTAACCTTCTTGATCCTAGTTTTGACATCCTCACCCGTGCTGACTGCCTGAAGCTGAAGTAATGCTACGTGGATGAGTGATAGTTGATTGATGTTTGTTGTTGCTATTGTTGCTGGTTATTTGGTTATCTTCACCACCTCCCTCTTCTTTGTGTTCACTTCAAGTCCTGTGTATACTGTTTGTCCCTTCTGTCAATTTGTTCGTTTACTCCGGTAAGTCTTCGAGTTTGTGTAACATTAGACACAAATCATCCGCGAAGTCCAGATCTTCTAGAATCTTTTTATCTATCCAATGTTTTCCTGTCTTCTCGCTACCCACAGTCTGTTACATAATTCAGTTCACCACAATTTTAAATATCATCGTGAATGATGGTGGACAGTCATGTCTTAATCCTGTCTTCACTTCAAAGGCTTCATTGAGTTGCCGTTGTGAATCGCTTGACACGTGTTATTCTCATATAACGGCTGAATGATATTGGTAAAGATACTTAGGTTGTTCATTGGCAGAATATTCACCAGATACTTGAGATGTTTAGGTTCGATTCCTGGCCGACATAGTCCTAAACTGTGACTATTAAAAGGTGGTGGTTGGTCCAACAGGAACATGAAGGAAATCGCATGAAGAGGAAATGAGAGCTTATGGGCAACAGTAGAGGCAATTAAAAGCTAATTCCAGAAAACAGGATGAACTGGTGATGTAGTTCCCCATGCTCCATTTGGGACCTAGGAGTATAATAATGATAATAATAACTTGGCTAAAAGGTAATTAATGGTCGATGTTGAAATTATCCGATTTAGCTCTGGATTGGGCAGACTGCTGCTGACTTAATCAATGTTGAATGATTTAGAGTGAAATGAATATCTTGTTGGTTGCAAGACTCGAAGCAAAAGCCCAGCAATTAAACAGGCCATTACTTCCCTGAGATCATAACGACTAATGTTAAGATGCTGCATAAATTAATTATAGGTTACTAATAAAGCAAAGGAAATAAGGTATGTGGTATAAAGTGTGGCGAGTATTTCAATTTCATAACTTCCTTTATCTGAAAACAGCCTAGTATATACTCACAGCATAGGAACATAGGGCTTCAAGCTTGAGCTTTGACGTCGTTCTTTGCTCAGTGGAGTTGCTTGCCTCATATCCAGCCTTCACCCTTTAGTGAACTTACTACTGGTTAAGAGGGGTTTAAGAGTATATCAGCTGAGAGCCAAACTCGGATTACTTGTGGCGTGGTTAGCAAGCATTCTATCACCGACTCACCCAGTAATTACACAATAATATACAAGATATGATTAGGAAGTAATACAAAATCAAATTAGTGAGTTTATATTAGTGGGTCTAAAACAACATAAAATAAATGTACTAAGTCTTCAAGCTAAGTGAAGAATTGTCACATTTAATTTCTGTATACACAAATTTGGTTTAAGTCTCTTGATGATAACATATACCAGTGGGATACCTAAACCGCTCACATTTCCAGTCACTTCCAAATGCTTCTCTCTATATTCCTACGTAATCCAATTCCTGTGTGTAACTATAAATAATTGATTTCTTGTCTTGACACTGATGGTGGTGTTTATGCGATTACATGTTACTATTTACTGTTTCGTACTGTCTTTAAAACCATCAACAATTCTGATACTGGACCACCTCTTCTAAACAGACCACACAGTTAACACTAAAGAGTCTCTCTCCACCACCTATCGGGTATCAAATAAATCACCAACGGACCATAGATACTGAACATTGCAAACAGTAGAGGCCATCGTAATTCCCTGAAATCAACTGGATATAAGAATAGAACTTATGCACTCTGGTAGAGTATAATTCCATTATGGGTAACACTGTGAGACTTTATCGAAATAAATGTTACCCATAATGAAATCAACCGGAGCTATGTGTGCACAAGAAACAGGTACAGCTAGCCTCTATCACTACCCTGACTTGTGTTATGGAACCAATAAATTCATAACTTCTGTGTTACTTCCCTCAATTTATCTGATGTCTATTTACTTTAGTTTTATATTAAAGCATATTACCTATCTTACTGATGCTTGTGAAATTTGAATTTTTAGTACCTGCGTAGCAGACGAGTTGTTTACAGTTAAAGAAATGCCCCAAATTAGAAGTGTGCCCCACATTTTATGCCCTAAAATTTTTGTGCTCTTGCTTTAATGAAGATGTTTTAATTCATTTGACTTCAATAATTATTAATAAATGTTATTTTTTTATTATTATTATATGTAATTAGCAATCCGACACCTGAAAAGGTTAAAAACATTAACTGGTCAAGATTTAGACAACCAGAAGAAGCTTACTTGCGTATCCAGTTGAATAGTTCGATTAAATATCATTATCGTTCATCAGATATGGCATTTTGGCAAAATCGTTTTGAATCATTAGCAGAACCTCTACCAGGTGAGTTTACTAAAGAAAAGTAATTTCACATAAATTTAATATGGTACCCTGTAATAGTAACAGTAGCCATTTATGACCCCAGTTTAAGGGATCGAACCTAGGACTTTCAGGTTCCACAGTGATCCTGTAAACCATTTGAACACCAGTTAGGAGAATCCAAGAGCCTATGAATTCTGGCCTTTGCTAATGTCATCAGCGATTATTTGTTCTCACACAGCTCGGCTAGAATGGAACAACTGTCCAGTACTTCATGGTTTTAAAATAGTTCTCTAACTGATGTCCATCAGTTATCTAACTCGAAACAAGCCATATCTTTTCAAACAAGCACTTGAAAATGAATATACATGCATACGATATCAGACTGTTAAGTATTCCACAATATCAAAGGTACCAGACCTTAAACTGATAGTTAAAGATTGAAATTATAAGATTTGTAGTGATTTAGGACTATCTAGGAAGCATCGTTTAAATCACAGGATGTCGGAATGGATGAAGATGTCAAAGCCAGCTGAATACCCAGACAAAATTGAAAAGGCAGGATACGCTTTCTTCAGTCTGAAACCAGCTCGGAAATCATCTGCTTCACTCAGCCAGCATGAATAACAAGTTTCAGATTTTCAACACAAACCTCAAATCAGTCAGTCGGTTAGTCACTTATTCCATACGGGTAACAAATTTTCAATGCGCATCAGTCAAGAAAAGCATTTCCAACAAGATACAGGCTAACATCAACAGCTACCAACTTCATTGACTGGCTGGCTGGCTGGCTGGCTCCATACTGAAGATCAAATGGCCGGCCAGTTGGAAAGAAACACCAACAAGAAACTCTGAAGTCAAACAAACCAATCAACATCCAATTGCTCAACAAATATTTAGGATAAAATGGACATAGATGGATCGGGTATACGTGGAGAAGGCCGTCGAATGACATCGCGCACAAAGCAGGCCACCACTCAGTGGGATCCCAATGAGAAGCGTCGAGTAGTTTGTTGGCGCGAGGGTGGAGGATGACATGGAGGAGATAGGGTGTTAGCGGAGAAGGAAGTGATAGAGATTATGGACAATCGTGGGGTAAGCTGAGGAGGAGAGCATAGAATGGGACAAAGTGGAGATGTGTTGCTGAAGCCAGTCCTATGTTACACTCAGATCCCAAGTGATTTTGGACTAATTTCAGTTTTCAGATTTCCGTTACAAACCAACATCATTAAGAGAGATCACTGGAAACCATGGAGTTCCAGACGACTGTTTCGTCCCTGGACCTGGATGACTCTTTATCAGTGCTCATTCAAGATCGCATCACGGATCGAAATTGTGACCCCTGGGTTACGAGATCAAGCTCGTTAACTATTCAGGCACCTGGGCTAGAATCCAATGAACTGTGAATTTTCACTTTGTCATTTCATGATATAACGCTGTTCTCACCGGTGCCTTAGATTGGCGCCCACCTCGCTATGACATAGTGGACTGCACTGATAATGACTTCCCAATCCAAATTCGGGAAATCCATGCAGTAGCCTTTAGTGAACCTGCGACAGTTAAATGGATAAATAGCATAATATGAGGTTGAACTTCGGTAGTTTGTATATCATTACAGTGCTTTTAGCAGTTAAATTAAATGAAACAATACTCAAGGGATATTTCCAACAGTGAGACTACTTATTTACTGTGTTCTGAGGGTTTCTAAAACAATCCTTGGTGAAGTTGTGGGTGTGCACTGCTGATTAATCCCAAAAGTAGGATGAAACATACCCCAATACTCCCTGATTTTCAGTGATCTCTAAGTGGTGTTAGTTTATGATGAAATCTACATCAGTAATGAAATCAAGTCTAAATGGAAACTGAAATCAGCCAAAAAAAACCATCAGACACTAAATAGCAGTGGACGGCCGTTTCATCCTACTTTTAGAGTCTTTGTCAATATGCGCCTGTGACATAAAAGTTGCTCAGTATTCTTCTCTGACATCCGTTAGTAATGAAGTCAACCTTGAAATGCATCAGTTAATTCTCATGCATCCAACAACCTTACTGCAATTTGATATTAATGGTTTCCAAATACTGATATCAATCAATAGTTTACACCAACGCTGAACTGCTAACCCTTTCTTCGTTAGCATTTGTATCAAGTAGACCATATATTTTTCTGAAATTTTTTGGTTTCCGAAAGACACTGTAGTGATCCACCTTGGACAGTGTAACTTATCAGTGATGAATTACATGTTACGTATTACCAGCTCTTCTAAGTAGATAATGGGAATTCAGGTAGTTTGAAGTGATGCACCTCACTGAGCAGAGTCAGTCCGGTTGCACCGCTGATGAACTTGACCCCAAAACCAGCAAAACAACAGCCCGATTTTTAAGTCACTCTGACCTGGTTATCAAGCACTAATAGTTTATATGAGCGGTCAACAAATATATATATATATATAAAGTAAATGCTATTTATGATTTCAGTCGCCCAGAAAATATAATGACATTTCAACCCAGAAAGTAAACAATCAATTTTTTGATGCCCAAGAATTTCATTACTAGAGCGATTTTAACAGAATTGATTCGATTCTATGAGTTAAAAATCAATACGGATTCATTTCTGATACCCAAATCAGTGAAGTGACCAGTAGACTTTCAGGCCAATGTAATAATATAGCTAGAGACAGAGATAGGGTGGTGCTGATGAATTGAATACTGGTGTAGGGTAGTTGGAAGTGATCGGTAGGAACCCCTGAACTTAGGTTTCATGCTTGCTGGCACTTATCAGTATGGAGCATTTTCAGCTATGAAGGAGATGCTGACCCACATCAGCAAATGCTGCAGTCATATACATTACTACTGAGCTACTCAGTTCCATGGTTACGTAAATGCATTATTACTACTAAATCACAAAATTCTTACATTATGGGCACCAAGGGATGCACCACACAGAATCCATAGTTTGTGCGAGGGCTCGAGGACTGCCTGTATTGAAGTAGGTGGTTGTCTTAAAGGGCCAATCCCCACCACTGAACACCTCTCTTGAACTCTAATGCACAAGAAATGCACAGTGTCAGCAGCTGAGTCATCCGTAGTAGACGGAGACCGAGACTTGTTCATACGCCATTCAGTCCTTTAGGATTCTGAAGCCCATATACACCAGTCTCTTTGAAATCAAGGTTTTTCAGCTCGCCTAAGTAGACCTACGCGTACACCAGTTCAGTGGTAAGTAACCGCCGGACGTTTGCATTCATCGTTTTACTTTTTTGAGGAACACCACATTTAAATATTTTTACTGTTTAATACTCATTTCATCTCACTTTTATTGTTTTCATTGTTTCTACTCAATGCATTACGAAAATAGCATCTCCACCAATTTATCGTTCTCCATTAATCGATATACGACTGGCTACAGTTATATTAAGTTGTCTATTAGCTATTGCATTGATTAGTATAATAATAATTATTATTTTATTAATACGACGTCCAAATCCTAAACACTTTAAATCAAATATACGTTATACAACACCAGGAAGTGAATTTCATGCATCCTTTAAAGATTCATTTGCCAATAGTAATATTTATTCATCAATAACGCCTACACCAATAACAGCAACAACAACAACACCAACGCCATCTTCTGTATATCCTCACCACCATCAACAACAACAGCAAAGGCCACCCAGTACATTTAATTATTTCACCAATAAGGAGAATAAACTCCAGACAGCGTCTTCATTGGCACGTACAAATGATCCGCTGGCATCATTACTAACAGTGAATAAACATCCACCACCTCCACCAATACCCTCACCACAGCAACAACAATATTATGATCGAAGAAGTTCTTCATCTGAATCTTCAAATGGTTCATTATCATTAATATCGTCGTCCTCACCACCCCCACCACCATCAACATCACGTCGTCGACAAATGAAACAAAAGCATGATGAAAATAAACCAGTGATGAAAGGGGTTAATGAATGTCTCGTAATGAATAGGCTGAATCAACAAGATCCACAACCTTATGATCCCTTGCTGCATACTAATGATAATAACAATAATAATAATCCGTATAAACCTTACATAACAGACGTTTAACCTAAGGAATTAAACAATCCAAGTTAGCATGTATATAATGCATTTCTCTGTGTCAAGAATAACACTAACCACCAACCAAAAAACGAAAAAATGAAGCACATTTCTTCCAGTGATGAATGGTGTAATGAATACTATTATCCATCAGTTCTGCAGTGCTACTTTATTACTTTTATTGACCAGCAATCATGTCCAATCAGCTGATTTCCTACTTTCTTATTATTATGGCGAACTACTGACTGTTGTATGTAACTAACGTGTATCACCTAAATAGTAATAACAGTTCCATAGTATGATCATTGACTTAGCTTTTGTATGCTTGATTGTTTGCCTGGTTTTCTCTATATCTATCTTACTGCCTCCCTTGTTTCTATTTTTTGCTGTATGTATATTTTATTTTAAATATAGAATTCATTGTTCACATTCTAGTTTTCATTAAACACAAAATACGGTAAGTGATTTGGATATTTTCTTAAAAAAAAAATAAACAAGACAGAAATAATAATTTAAATTGATTTGTGTTTCCTGGAGTTCTGAATGGAGCGTATGAGGCATTTAGCAGTATATTCTACGCTTTATCCAATTCACTGAAATTCTCTTCAATTGGTTTCACAGGTATTGTCCAGAGACGTTCATTTCCTCTGCACACTATCTCCTCCAAGTGCTACTGATGGACTCAGGTCCGGCATGCCCGTTTCCCAATTCGAGTTCGTATGTGATTTGACTCAACGGCCTTGCCGGCGTACGTCGGATCTAGTTTGATTGCCTTCTCCATAACTGTTGGGTAACAGGTTCTTAGTTGATTCGTTCCCAGTGCTCCTTGTGGCTAAACCCTTCTGATTGGTCATCTGACCTCTGGTATCAATTGGGCGAAGGCATCATCTGTTGATTACTGTCTACAGTTTTTTTCCTTCACGTTCCCCAGTGGAACATACCGATTCAAGCTAGTGGCTTGAAGTTTCTGTAGCAGTGTTTAATTTTACAGGATGGGATTGCTAGCCTCATACTTAACCTTTCCTCTTTACCATCATTATTTCTGGTTTAGCGAGGTAAAGGAGTGCGTCGGGCTGGAATTGAACCCCGGACCATGTGCATGGCCGGCGAGCGTCCTAACCGCTATGCCACCGACGCATACAGTCTGCAATAGCCTGTTGGAAATGCTACTAGTGACGCCCACGTAAAGTCACTGAACGATATAGAAGTAGTGATTTAACACTCGCTCTGAATTCCCAGATTCAGCTATTTGACCTGAGTGATAACTAACGAAAAAGCAACAACAACCACCACTAGTCACAATCAACGGTAGATATTTCACAGAGGTTACTTCCTGCCTTAACTTATCTCGCCAGGAAGCACGATTTCAATCACAGGAAGTAGGAACGGATGGAGATATCAATGCCAGCCAGCCACCCAAACAAACTCGGAAAGGCAGGATACGCATTCATCAATCTGAAGGCAGTTCCGAAATCATCTGCTTCACTCAGCCAGCCAGCACACATAACAAAATCCACATTCTATTCAAAACATACGTGAAGTCAATCAGTCAGTCAGTCACTTATTCTATACGGGTCACAAACTTCCACTGAGCGCCAGTCACGGAGAGCATTTCCAACAACTTACAGGCTTACATCAGCAGATCCCACCTTCACCAGCTGGCTGGCTCCATAGTGAAGATGAAATGACCGGCAGTTCGGTCAGACAGAAAGAATTACCAACAAGAAACTCTTAAGTTGAACAAACCAACAGGCAAGAGCCAATTGCTCAACAAATATTTAGGTCAAAATGGAGATAGATGGATCGGGCATACCTTGAAGAGGCTGTCGAATGACATCACGCGCAATGGAGGCCATCACTCGAGTGGGATCTCAGTGGGAAGCGACAAGTAGTTTGTTGGCGTGAGGACGCAGGATAACATGGAGGAGATAGTGTGTTAGCGGAGGAGAAGGTGATGATAGAAATTATGGACAATCGTGGAGTAAGCTGAAGAGGAGAGTATAGAATGGGACAAAGTGGAGATGTGTTGTTGAAGCCAGCCCTATGTTCCACTCGGATCCCAAGGGAATAATAACAATAATCCCTTGAGAAGAAGAAAATAGAACAGTTTGTTCCTTTGATCGATTTAAAACAGACATTGAGAAGACAAATATCGTGAAATGATATCTTTATTTCGTAGTTCCTCTTACAATTGTTTCACAACTAGCAAGATTAGCAATAATAAAATAAAATGTATGACAATGACTCATTTTTATATAAAACAAAAATATATGATAATAACCAATCATATTTTAGTAGATCAAGTAGGCAGACATTGAAGCCTATTGTTTTTTTTTAACTCACAGTTATCAACGTCACTAAAAGTTACTAATCGCAATTTAGAATCTCCTCAAGATGTAGACAAACATATAACTAATTTATCCTCTGGCACTTTATTCCAACTTCAAGTGGAGGTATTCTGCTATGGATTAAAATAGTCAAAAACGATCCCTTTAAAACTAAACAAAGTAGAACTTCAATCACAATGTGAAAATCTGTATGAACAAGTCTCTGATCCAACCCCATGTAATAGGGATAATCTGGACTGGTTTACAGCTAGCAGACACTAGTAGACATTTCTTATCAATGTCACAATACATCTAGAGAACACTACACCAAAAACTGAAAAATTAACTCAGAAAGTCTTTTTTCCTAATACCTGAAAAAGGAAAATGCATCATCATCATCATCATGAATAAACCTGATTTTTAAAATAAAATGGATGAAATCCTCAAAGATCAATCAATCTAATAGAGATCATGCTTTTAAAAAGCCTTAATCCTCATAAGCTTCAGATTTTATGAATGCATACCTTTATAAACAACTTTTAAACCTATCGGATCGCACACCTCTCGGTTGATAACCTTCCGAAGATTTACAAGCCTGTAAATCCACTAAGATTCATTACAGATGTTGTCAAATCCCTCATAAACCATAAAATCGCCAAGTCGGTTACGGAGCTTATTACACACACAAAAGATTCCTTATCCCACTAAAAGTTCACTCGATACTATGAACATTAAAAAGAATATGCGCTCAATCGACATAGAATCTTTATTCACCAATTACCACTTCGTGAGACTGTTGATTTCATTTGGGATTATATTGCAAGTAATAGAATACAATTACCTATACTTGTCACTTACATCAAAGATATTATACTGACATGAACAGAAAATTACTAGATTCGATTTCCAAGGAGAAGCACACGAACGAATTGATGTTTTAATGACGACCCCTATTAGTAGATGCATTTATGTCAGTCAAAACTGGAGGAAGAAATGGGAAATGGTACGCCGCAAACTTTATGCTGTGTGAATGTGATGTAGATGATACGCTGATTATTGGTGACAACAATGAGTTGACAGACAACTTCACTACTCCATTTAGTGATAATCATCCAAATATTCAAATGACCTTAGAATTCGAATTGAATAACAAAATGAGCTTTTTGGATGTTACATTGATTAGGCGGGACGACGGAACAGTTAGGCGATCCATTGCTTTGCAGACAGACCTGAAGTGGGCAATATCTTTATTTCGGTAGTTTTGTTTCTATCCAGTACAAACGTTCCCTTAGCGAAATGCTTGTTTTCAAGTGCCCATTAAATTGGCACCAGTGATCAATAATGGATGAGCTACAACGTATACATTAGGTTTTATTGGTGAATAGATATTCGGAAGACTTCATTGCACGTCAGTGCAAAGATAGACTGTTCCTGAAAAAGATAGCTTCTGCATCAAAGTAAGTAATTTTTATTAAACTACCACTCAAGGGTGATAAAACTATACAATCGACAGCTCAAATGCATTTGGTCAGCTATCAAGTGCACATTCTACGCCACATCCCTTTTCTATACATCCCGAACATTTTCAATTCTTGTGCCTATGATTAAAGGACGAGATTCTGTGAACTATGCAGCTGAGGTGACATATATATATCATCTCGTGACATTTATCTTCTTAGTGCTTTATTTAGATAGAGATTCCTCTTCGGAAGCGAATAAAATGTAGACTCTGAATTTAACTGACACCTGCACTGGCCCAAAAAAACAGAGGACACATTTGTTCATTAGCTGTTAGGTTTGATTTCCTCAAGAGTGTCATGCTCTAGGCATAATTATGCGTCATGTGTGTTAGTCAAACTGTAACACCTATACAACTATTACGAGAGATTTGCTTTTCCATTTTAGAAACTGGAGCAATTAATGACTAAAACCAATAACAAAAACAGTTATGCTTCAATCGAATTCACACTTGATACACAGTCTACGGTGAAACTCTACCATTGTTTCCCTCGGATCATATTACGCGATCTGCGCAATACCATAAGCGGAAGTCAAGGAAGCAGGCATAAATCCGTTATGCTAAGTACTACTGATTGGCTGGTATGAGTAGTTTGATACCACTCATATCAAGCAGTAAAGTGCTTGATAGCCAGATTATCGAAGTTATCCAAAAACGCAGGGCGGCTGTTCCGCTCGTTTGGAGCCGAACTCATCGACGACGTAACCGGTTACGTTTATTTTACCATCATATGTTAACTCAGACCTCAGGTAGTTCAGCTAACGATCCTAGTTGACCGTCCTTCGTTAACTTAGGGAAATCCCTCATCAAAGTTTGTATCCCTACGTTTTTTAAGGTTACTTATAACTTTATTAGTCTCTATAAGCAAAAAGAGTCTTACATCAACCACGCTACGTATTCGGCAACGAAAGATTGATTGGAAATTAATTAATCTTCACTTAGTAAGATGATTTGTCTCTTATGTTCTCCTCGATAGGCATAAGCACACGTTTTCGCAATCAGATAAAATCTTTTTTCCATTTCTTTTCGTTCCGAGTGAAACATACGGTTTTAAATGTTAAGCTTTGAAGTTTTAGAAGCATTGGTGGGGTTGCTACCCCCTCCACACACACACACACACCTCCAACCTTCCCTCTTTTCCGAGCTTACTTACAACCGGCTAAAAGTGCATCAACCAGGAGTCGAACCCTGACCACATACATGGCTGGCAAAAATTCTATGCCCCTAAATCACCAACGCACAGAATAATATCAGTAATTGTCAACTAATGAAGAGTAACACCTCATCCAATAAGTTCCATAGATTATTTACAAACCAACAACAACAACAACAAATATCATTCCATTCCATTTGTACAAGATAACATAAAAACATATATTTGAAAAAAAATGGAAAACAACAATAAAATGCAGTAGAAAATTTTGCAAGAACAATAGGAATAAAAATAAACATAATAACAAGACAACTACTACAATAAAATAAAAGCATAAACAGAAAAGTACAAACACATAACGATATTTAATACAGCTAATGTATTTGTCAACCCTGCCGTTCAATTTCATATCTCTGAAGTAACAAAAAAGGCAAAGAAACACAAATGGTAATATATGGGTAGACATATATGTATATGTACACAAGGAAACTGTGGCTCATTTGCTTTCAGCGCTCGGTTTTCAACCAGTGGATGAATGATTGGGTGGATGGGTGGGTAGGCGACGAGTTTGAACCCTACTCAGCTTACAAAGATTCAGGCAAGCAGGTATGGTTCATTTCTAACTAAATGGAAATACAAATAGCTATTTAATAACATTTCATTTTCTTATACATATATATATATATATATATATACAGAAAAATAAATGAAAATATAACTCAACTGTTGAGGTGGCGGGGGGGGACGAGAGATGAGAAGACAGACACACATTGGACTAATAAGAAGACTCTAGAAGACTATGTGCGTCGGTGGCATAGTGGTTAGGACACTCTAGTCAACCATTCAAATGGTCCACGGTTCGATCCCCGGCCGACGCACACCTGATATCAATGGTCGGCCTACTAAATTTGGGCTGCCGATATCACAAGCTGAAAATTCCATACTTGTATCAAAAATACTATGCGCAGTCAAGCTACAATTTTTAAAAATTTTTTTAATATCACACAAACGTGTAGATCTACAAGCGAAAACCAACAAATAGGCAGAAGAGGCTGGAAGCGAAGATAAGATTTCAAGTTTTAATGAAGAGAAGTGAGAAGTGATAAAGATGTCTAACTGACCATCACCAACAACAACAATAACAAGCGCTAATCACCATCGACGGGAGAAATGTAAGGGAGGTCACTTCTTTCTTTTACCTCAGCAACATTATTTCCACTACAGGCGGGATGGATGAGGATGTCAAAGATAGGCAGACAGATATTCATCCATCTGAAATCAATATAGAAATATTCTGCATTTAGCATGAGGAACAAGAACCAGATTCGCAATACTACTAATACCAGATGTCAGCGCTTCTCTATATGATTTAGAGACTTGCTGAGTCCTGAAAAATATTTCCAACATGCTTTCTCTCCATAGTGAAGATCAGATGGCAGGCCAGAACGGATCAGAAACAGAGAACTCTAGAAACTAACCAACCAAGAATCTATTACCCACAAATATGCAAAAGGGAATGGAGATATATTGCAGACAGGCTGAGGAGACCGTTCATGCGCCAGGCTAACCCTAAAGTGAAATCCTGATGGGGAATGATGAGATGGGCACGGGTTCCACGGTGACATGCAGAAGACAGTGTAAGGAAGCAATGAAAGCTTATGGGCAATCATGGAGTCTGCTAAAAGCGCAAACAGAGAACAGAATGGAATGAAGATATGCCGATGAAGCCGTATATTTTACTTAAAAACTAGGGGGATAATAAAAGTAACAACCGACCTCATCCCACCGACGTTCTACACTTCAAAAGGTGACAAAGTTGACTAGTAACTATACTAAGCAAAGAAAGTTAGTATTACATGGTTGGAGGCAATCGGTAGGAAGCTTTGGACCTAAGTTTCGTGATAGCTGACACTCGTCATCAGGGAGTATCTGCGACCTTGAAGGAATTCATGTCCCTTCTGAGACCCGAACCCACGTCACCCAATGCTGTAGCCAGAGACGTTACCACTGAACTATTCGGGCTGAGTGGCGACTAGCACGAATCCTACGTTCAGGGCTTCCTGACAACTGTCTTCAACCATCTAATATCAACAATTCACAGTGGACCGTGGTTGCAAGCCACCTAGAATGGTGGGCTATATTGCAAAGTTGACTGAAAGAATTCAGTCTGTAAAAAACAAAGAACTAGACACATTACACTAGTTACCAACTAATTTCTAATGAAAAGAAAGTTAACAGAAGAATACCGAATCATGTGTTTATTTGGACTCAATTGCTGAAATAGATGTCTTTAATATTTCGGGCTATGAGCCACACTCTTTACTGTGTGACGCCTGGCGATACTAACCTATCGCCCAAGGGGGCCTGAAGCAGGTGCAGCTTGGGATCCTAACCCGGGTTTCATCCAGTGAAAATTGAATACTTAAGCCAGTAATTCATATTTCCACAGAATACGACATGATGAATATTGGAATGTAAGCGAAATGGAGATACATTCTGTAATAGTGAGTGAGCAGTTATAGCCTTACAAAATTGTTCTTCCATAGTTCATGCGAGGGATGGGATACTGCTCGAACGTCCAGACCGAAGCAGGTGGCTGGTCTAAGGGAACATAACCCAAGTCCTTGACTTGAAGTGTGATCCACGAGACAGTGGAGTAGCATCAGGAGCTCCGTTTCCATGGTTGTCAGTGACTGAAACAGGTTGACACGCCATTCGATCCTTTCAGATTCTGGAGCTCACGTACACCACAGGTATGGAATTAAGGTCTTCCAGCCACCCTAAGTAGACCTGCATGTCCATCAGTTCCTCAATTTTGTAAGGAATACCCCCACCAAGTGAAATTAGTAAATAGGACTTACCTCGCATACATGGCTATGAACGCGTGACCACATGACAGCGTTTCGATAGGAAGGCCAAAGTAAACCCACCCTCAGTCATACCACGTCGGTTATAGTGGTGTATACAAAAATGTGTGTACTTGATTTGGAATAGAGTATTAATTAAGAGGTAAGCTTATATGGAAATATCTCAACTAACAGTGAGCAGAAACTATTCTAATGGTTTGGAAGGCAAACAGGATTATCTTCACACTCAACTAAAGAGGCAGATGATTAATAAGCCTAACGAAATTACCAAGAGAACAGACGAATTCATAAAAACAAGCAATGAATTAGACGGTTTCCCATGCTACATCAATCGGGAAAACAGTTGGAACAGTATTTTAGCGAGTCTCAATAAAACTATGATGGGTAGGAACAAAATTGTTACGATTTAAAATAAATTGAAAACAATAAATAGATAACTTTTTTCTTTTGCTCTCCTCTCCTCTTCCCTCTTTAATGTGCAATGCAACTTAGATTTCTGTTTATAACTTACTGGATTTAATTTACGCCTAGCAGTTTCCAATTTCCTTCGTAATTCTTGTACACGCGCTTCTTGTCTACGTATATCATCATCGCTTACAATGAATGTCTAAAATGAAAGAACAATGATGAAAAGATGAAAAGAATCCCTTAATTTCATTATCACTACTATACTGGTATAAACACCCTATGCCCTGGAAGATTTGAGGTAGTTTCATGAGCATCAATGGATATGCAGTGCAGCCCGTGTTATATCTAAACATAACTGACTAACCTACAGTAAATTTATATGGTTAGACTTATTATTATTACTATGCCCTTGCGTTCCAAGCGGAACATACGGTTTCAACAGTACGCCTCCACTTTGTCCTGTTCTCTGTAGCTGGCCCAACAATTGCCTATAAGCTTTCCTTCCCTCCTCAGACGATCTCCTTCATATCACACCTCAGAATCATGCCCAACTCGTCGTTCACCAATCGAGTTCCACTCGACCGATGACCGTGAGCGCGATTTCATCCGATGGTTTTCTCAGTGTATATGTCCGACCCATCTCCACTTTCTTCGGCATATTTGTTGATCAGTATAGTTTTTGATTGGTTCGTCACCTAGTTCACTAGTCTTCTAGCCGGTCTTAAGCCCGGGAAAAGAAGGGAGTTCGGGTGTGGAACTAGCGTCCCTACCTCGGGATATCAACTCAATCGTTACAGAAACTTAAAAGCACAAGAAAAATACCGAAAATATACAAAAACAAACTTAATCGTCGCTGGAATCGGGGAAACAGAATCATGAGGGCTGATGAAAGTCTTCAACTAGACTAATAGTTATGTGGAATTTGTCAGAAACAACAAAAATAATCCTATTATTCAACTGTTTAGATTACCAGAGAACAAGTCTCGTCGATTTAGAGTATGCAGATGATATACCCCCAACCCTCTAAGTGAAAACGATGACAAATTGCCTACTATTCTGATCACCCTAAGCAGAAATTTTGGTATGTTTGGCGTCCAATTCACTGCTATCTAATGTGTAAATGATGCTGCAGGACTGCACTACACCAATAGGAGTAAAATGGTTGAGTGTGTTGACAAGCTCACTAATTTATGAAGTTGATCAGCCCTAACGGACTGACGGCTGACGAAATCTTAGCACAGATACGAAAAGCCCGTATAGTATCTGCCAGCTTATTTCATCTCCAGCGTAAGCATTATATACAGTTATTCATCAAACGACATTAGCTCCGTGCTTCTTTAAAATTGTGATACATGGTCGATGAAAGTTAAAGATATGAAGGAGTTGGCTGTCTTCGATCATATGCGTCTAACTTCTGTCTCCTGTGTTAAATGGTGAGTAACACTAAGGTCAGATGTATAATGTTAAGTCAGTCATTCGGGTTGTCAAGTTGCATTCACTGAGTTGGCCAAGATACGTGTTACGCATTACAAGTCCTTGACTTCTTCGTTGAGCAATGTCAGCTGACACGGGATTAGACTGAGTAAGAAACATGGCATCAATCTATGAAGTTTCTGACGGTTCATCTGCGCCACATAAGGAAGTGTAGACTGTCTGGTTGGAATCCTCGAGACTGGAAGAACCAATGACTGGAGACTGTTAATTCAAAATCATTGTCAATGATGCAGATATATCCCCTCTTTTAACCTCCTATATTCATTAAGTCCTCTCGTTTCTTTATGTAACTATTCTTTCTCACGTATATTTCTCTTGAATTGTCTTCCTCTCTTTTCTCGACTTACATGTGCTACATGGAGTGGGACAACTTTAACTGGCTCAATTCTATAATAAGTTCTACTTTGAAATGTCACTCAGTAAGTCAACAGTTCGATAACTTCAAACTATGCGGCCTACACTTTCCCATATGGTTAAAACTATGACAATGTCGTGTCTTAGTTCGACAATGTCTAAGCTCTTTCCAAGGAAAACAGTGGCCCATCATGCGCAACGCAAAGACAAAGACTCACAACCCCGTGTATTTATGAAGTTATACCACCAAATACAATCCCATAAATATTAAAGGAAATAGTACCAGTGACGGAATTGTTTCTTTATACTGAACTACTACTTACTTTAATCATCGGTTGCAAGGGATTTACCGTAGCACATGGATTTTTCTCAATGGTCGAAGGTTGTTGTTCTTGACCAATAATTGGAGTACTTTCATTTGATAAAGCATGAATTAAACTTTGAACTAATTGTGTACTTTGATAACCAGGTACTCCAGCAGCTAGAAATGCGGAAGGGAAGGGAAGTAAAAAGGCGAAGGTTTAGACACTATTACAAATTAATGTGGGCGTTTGTGGTTTAAGGGAGGACTTCTTGCCAACCAAACACGCGTGTGGCCCAGGGTTCGATTCCTTGCTGAAACACTTTTCAAACTAGCTAATTCGGTAATAAGCCCGGTAAATAAGGAAGGTTAGACATGAGGCTAGCAACCTAAAAACTAATTAATAAGCAATTATTGGTTACCTATTTGAAACACCAGGCTACCTAACACGATGAATCATATTTTTCGCAATTCTTGTCCTTGATTCGCGAAATCTACTCTAGGATAATTTTAACCGGCTTTCAAACTACCGGTATGCACTTCACGGGGCCGAAAGAAAAAATACCATAAGGGATTAGTCTACGTTTCCATTTAGGATCATTACGTCACGTGGAATACTATAGACTACTATTTTACTTGAAAATGCTGGATGAGGAGAAATTATTATGCAATAAATTACGCTGAGAATTCTGCACACCAGTGTGTAAACATTTTTGTCTAGAATAAAGCTGTTCCCTTGTTATTTGTTTATTTTAGAAAAAACCTCACCTCATAGCTCAAGCTTGAAGCCCAATGTTCCATTTGTAATGTAAAGGGACACCAGTAATATAAATAATAATAGTAATAACATACATTAATGCATAAAACTTACTCTGTATCCCTCTAGGCAGAGAGATTGGTTTAAATGGTTCACCAGTTTCAGGATCAATAGCCACATCATTAGCCAATCGTTTCTCCCAGAATAACTAAAATAAATATGAAAATTATGATGGCAATTTTAAGTGACCGGAGGTGAAACAATGTACGTACCTGATGAGGTGTTTCATAATTTGCATTATCCACATCTATTCGCTTACATTCCGGATGGGAACGAATAATAATAGGTTTCATTTCATTTGTTATTGGAAATGGACATCGTCTCACTGGAAAACTGTACTGATTGTCTAAACGTGGGACTTATAGACAAAAGAGATGAAGGGGCAAAATTAGAAAATCTTCATACCTTTCGCTAAGGAAGCGTCTGTTGCTTGTTCTTCAGATTTTTTGGATCGATGATTCAATGTAAATTTTCCTAACCGCCAATCAAACAAACTCATATCATATTTGTCGCCTAAAATTGCTTGCATTTCCAGTTTATTACGAACAATTTGATTTTGAGGACTATGGAAAAAAAACAAAGAATAAGGGAATACACAAAAGAAAAAGTTACCTAATGTAGTAAACATCTGATTTCCCAGTGCTTAAACCATTTGGTCGCATACATTCTTCACGCTTCCAACCAGGTGGCAATGATGATGGCCACACTTGTTGTTGTTGCTGCTGCTGTTGCTGTTGTGCCTGACCAGGTGGTAGGGTTTGAACTTTATAAGCTGAATATGAGCCACGTTTTATTTGGTTATTTAACTGATTTGTAGTCAACGTCTGATTCTGCATTAAAGAATTCTATGGTGAAAAATAAAAATAAAACAAAATATACTTAGAAAACAGTTGTTGTGTGGTCAAACTAAAACCTGGCATCAGTCCATGAAGTCCGACTGTTAGTTTTTAGCCAGTCACATAGGGATGTGTAAACTGCCCAGTTTATGTCCTCCGAGTACTGAGAACCAATTGCTGAAGGCTATTAATGATACCGCTCAAAACCGCTCTTAATGATGCATTCACTCTTTGTAACCTCCTGTGTCACTTTATTTCACTAGTGATACTGTTCTCCATACTGTTTCTTCATCACCTAACTGTGAGACCACTGCTAATGACTTAAGGCAGAGGAAAATATCCTTAAAACAACATAGACAACCTCACACAGAGGCTTTTAATACAGGAAGCACATATCAAAAACATCAGACCCCACCAGCACAGCATCTTGACCTATGAATGCACATCGTATTTGCAAAATATACAAACAAAGCTCAAAAGTTAAAGACGACTTGACCCATGTAGCCTATAAAGGGTACTTGTGCGATTGACCCTAAGGGTTTGTGTACAGATACCACAAAGCTCTCGAACGAAAAATTTACAACCTTTCTAGATACTCGGGGTTCGCTATATGCTACGTCGCGAAATGAAAGATATGTAGGAATTCGTTTGAGTAACCTCTGAACGGTTCGCACCATTGAAAAAAGATCATCTTTCATTCTGAATTATCTGTGCACAGACAGATTATACATTATTTTGAGCAAATGTACTTGAAATTGAGTAGACCTAGGCGCAGTAAGTAGGTACAAAACCAATTCATGTCCAACTAATCAGTGGAAACTTTTAGCCCGTACTTGGTAAGATGATAGTGATATTTACCTTAAAAATGTCCACCGCATTCAGCTTGACGCAAAAAACAGATGCATATAGTACACAACAATCAGTAAAAGATCAGCCAAGGCCTATAATGGACAGGCAGTAAAATGAATGATTTTGACTGGGTATTTAAAAGGAGAATATTATTTCTAAGTGGACAATCCTGAATCCTTTTTATGCGTAATATGAAGGCGCTAAGGTGGGGTCGTTGACCGTTCTATGACAATGCTACACACTCAGTATAGTCCTCTTTACCAGTGGTACGACTCCTTTGTCTCACTGTCAGTAACACAAAGCATGGCGAAAAATCCCATTCAACCAAGCGAACTACAATTAATGGGGAAAATGATTACAAATGAATGCTCGAAGCATATAAGTCAGTGACTATCGTGTGAAATAGTCTGTAATGACTACGGAAAAATACTTCAACTACAGTCCAGATATCTCCAAACAGACAGGAATAATATATATTATTCCAAACATATATATGGTTCTACATGTTGTGAATTGTTTGCATACGTACCTAAAGACAACTTGTTTGTTTGAACCAAAATGCTGCCTTACTAACAGTAGTTTAGAAAGAAAACATTTCGAGGTATTATATATTACGAGATCCTGAAGACGAAATCGCGCCAATTCACTAAGTAAGCACAGGCTGATTAGATGTCGGAAAATGCCTACAACATACTTTCAAATGACAAATAAGTTGCAGTAAACACTAATAACTTGGTTTTTAATTGCATTTAATATAGCTTTCAGACAACAAGCTAGAAATATATTAAAACTTAAAAAGTCTAAACACTAACGTAGAGTTCAAAATAGTACTGTTCGCATAAAGTACATTCAATATTCAATGTCCTCATTCAATAATCCAGTGTGAGTTTTGTTTACATATCGCTTCGATATTAATTGGTCTAGATATCTTTGTTGAAGTATTTCAAGTCGCGTGTAATTAAGTAGGTCCGAATGCTTTCTTGCTATAGCTCTGTTTAATTCTGAATGGTTGAATGTTTGCTTACATGGAGGATTTAATCATGAGCTGACATCAGTTAGAAAACCACTGGAAAACCTGGGAGTACTGGACAGCTGTTTCGTCCTGGTTTGGGACTCCTCAGCATTACGCACCCACCGGGATTCGAACCCAGGGTCTTCTAGTTACAAGGCGAGCTCGTAGACCATTGAGCCACTGGGACCCGATCCAATGGTCCTTGAATTCTAACTTCTGCCAGTCCACGACATAGCGCGACCACTTCTCAATGTCTTCTTCGATGAGTTACTGCCTCATCTTCAACCTGCTGTACCCTACTGGTCACGGCTTCCCACTCGAACCCCGGGTTGAATGTTTGTTTTGGAAAAAATGAGGATGGGTACTCATGAGCTTCCAGTAAACGGAGGAGAACCCTATGATTTTAAGCGTTTTCTTCAGTTCGAATGATTTCCTGGATAGATAGAATGATTACGCCGAAATAGTTCGTGTCATATTGCACGTTTTCACATATAGCGATAGGTAATTCCCCAGAACTATTGGCCACAGCCTTCATCACTGAACATTGGATGCTGACTCTCACTGTGTAAGTCAACTTATTTGGCTGAAGGCTTCCGGTCAAGCATCCACGCTATTCGGTACTCAGTCGTGTCACGTTCGTTCGTTCATGCACGACCCTGGCAAGTTAAGCAATCATCTCGCACTCCAATTTGGTCCCGATATAAAACTAGCAATCTGAATGATCAATTCTGGTGTTTTGCTTTGCCTTCGGTCTACACGGAGAGAACACTACAGAACTTTTGGGTATAAGATCTTGCGTTAGTATACTTCGTACTATCCGTGAACGTCAACACCTTTAGCCTCTAACCTGGTGAGGCCTACAGTGGACTTCAGCTTTGGTAAATACATAGACAAATCCCGTGAATTCGTTCCATTTTGTGTTTGTTCTCGTACTATTTTTAAACTATATATATTTCTCCATGAGTGATCATACTCCTAAGGTCATTCGTATTAGATCAACTACCAAAATTACTCAGATGGTGCCATTTTGGCACCAGAAAGCCAAGTCCAACTTCAGCGAAAATGGGTTAACTGGTCAGCGTTCCATAACAAGTGATCGCGGGTTGCAATTCGAGAGCGGCTTATTCTTTGCTCGGACTAAAATCATAAGTTATATGCGTTTTAGGACATCAGCCTGCGATTCTCAAGCTAATGGTGTGGCAGAAGGTTTACACCAACGATTGAAGGCTGGGTTATCAGCTACAAACAATGCACACTGAACTGAGTCACTACTGTTAGTTAGTTGGGCATACGAAATACTTTCGTAACTGAAGCGACTTGTACTGCTGCTGAGGTAGTATGTGGCACAACACTACGACTGCCAGGTGAGTTTGTCTCTCCCCGTCGCTTCCTATCAGCGGTAGGCCACGCCTCATACGCCAGCAGGCTTGAAAATTCAGTTCAGTTAGGCCTGCTCCTGCTTGACTGCAGTCCACAGACGTCTTTGTTCACCCTTGTTCGAAAACTTCTTCACATATATTTGTTCGTCGTGACTCAGTGCGTCGCCCTCTGGAACCCCTATACGATGGACCATGTAAAGTCAATAAACGTACGGATAAATTCTTTGTCTTAGACAAAAAAGGCCGCGAAGACACCGTCAGCATCGACCGTCTGGAACCGGCCTACTTAGAAGGCATTTCCATGAGCCTAGAACTATGCATTCACAATAATACACAAGTAACCGAATATCCCTTAATCCTCAAAGAAATCTCTAGCAGGGCGAAAGCCACCAAACCTTCTGTCAAGGCAGCAAAGAAAATGCGCCCTTGATGAAATGTGAGATTCTCAGAACATCTTCACACTTGTCACACAGCTAAGTGATGCGATTTACCCAATTCTTATTCTCTTGCGGTATTTATTTTTTTCTTTGAGACATCAATTTTTTATATTGCATCCCGCAACACAAGTAGAAAACCTTTTCATAACCATACATGTTAAAGCCACTAAAAAAATTAGATATGTGCTTTTTCAGTGTTCTACTTCTTGCATTATTTCTCTGTATGGTAGATGCATGTCATTTTTCAAACGTTATTTTTGATGAACTTTCCTCAACAAGGTTCTTAGCATTCTTGTTTTCTTTCCCAGGTGTGACGGTCACTGGACAAGAAGCAAACGAAGCACGAGATCGAACGGACAAACATAAACAAAGCGATATACAGACAACTTATTAGCATAGGTAGACGACTAGTAGGCACTAGAGAAGACGATCGGAAGAGTTTTGCAGATAGGAAAACCATCGAGTATTTTACCCCATCTGGTTTCGTCTCAGGGTCCTCACAACCCCGCTAGGGAGGAATGAGCTGTAGCGGTAGGTAATTCCCCATATTATTTGTGAGAGGACTTGAGAAAGTTTTTCTTCAAGCAAGAAACACACAGTAAGTTACCCTGTAATTCACCTGCCAACTCTTTCCTTCAGAATTCTTAACTTCCCCTAACCATCTGAAGAAAACGGAGACTGCCATGGTCAGCTCATAATATCGCTGTTGTGTACCTAGCGATCGTAAAGCTACATGTCTAAGCTCGAAACTATGTGTTTGGACTGCCTGCACCACTTTCAATTAAAACCTAATACAGTCAGCGTGGTTGTGCCGTATGTGAGATGTAGTTGGCCTCACTATTTGGTTCTGAGATGAAAATCCTCCAATGCTACAGTATACGCTTGGGGGTTATGATGTACGAAAAATAGTTCTTAACTCGTTTGTTCTTTACTGTGATCGAATACACAGAATTCATTTCTGACATATGAATCTCCATAGAAGGTGGGAATCAGCCCGTACCTTTCAGACGTTGTTATTTAAAAAAGCCTTTGCACTTCATGGCTACCCTTCGTTAGACGGAGCCCTATGATTAATAATTTTGACATAACTTAGTTCACTGCTGGAGGTAATCAGAGAGTGGTTCGTTCAGTTTTCGGATTTTCATGATTAAATATGCCAGTGTGATAAAGTTACCGATTCAATGAAAAATGGAAGGGAAGGTGTCCGCGACTTTTCTCTTATGGATAGGTATGATAATGATAAGATTTAAATGCATGACGTGTCTGCAGTGCATGACAATCGTTGCAAACTCTAAGGAGGTAGCTAGAATTATTATCGCGGTTATGAAACAGGAATTCATGTAAAGTTGAGCTAATTTTAATGATTGACCTTGAAAGGTTTCTCCTGCTTAACCTCGAAGGTAGCTTTTCACCGTTAATGTTATCCTGAGAGGGGAGTGTCTGCTACTTCGACTCAGTATCGGCAGTGTCGACATGCAGAAGACATTTAAAATCTCTTTTTCTTATTGTTACTTCGTATTAATGATATGATTGATGATAGTGCAGAAGGCATCTTCTGAGGGTTGTTTTTACGGGCGTCTACTTTCGCAGTGGTGAACACTTCGAAATGAAGGGATATGTCTGAAACAGTATGATAGTACGCACTCAGAGTAATACTTCTTTTTACTTTTCTTTTACATCCATTACCCCGAAAGTATGGCACATTCTGCATAGACAGTAATACCACCTATGTAATGCCTGGGCATATGATATTAAAATAGCTAGCACATAGGTGATTCTAGCCTGCGTTAAACTACTATGAGGGGTTCAGAACCATTATGCGCACTCAGATAACGGATCTAGCCATGTTTTGGCTGATCTCCATAACACTTACAGGGAACAAGCAGTGGATCACAAAAATTGGTTTGAAATCTCATCACGTGAAAGAGTATGACGTAATTACAGTCATATACATATGACAATCTCACGTCTTGAACAAAGATATTCCAGCAATAAAAAAAGCTTAACTCGGGCACTCTACTTCTGTTTCGCAATGATGCTGTAGCTAATTTTTTACCGGTCGTAATTCACCAGAGTTCGCAGCTATCAGAGAGAAAAGACAGAAACACTGACCGGATGAACTTTGGTGGAACCAGAACCACACATTTTCATTCTTAAATATCTCAAAATTGAACTGAACAATGTATGAAATCCAGGAAATTTATAATAATAATATTTATTTCTGGAACAGAAACCAGCCATTTTTACAGGCACGAACATATGTACACTTGTTAGAACTTATAGAATATATAATATGATTTGTTAATCTAGAAATGGCTGGACTTATTTATCACGTACTGTGGAAGTTCCGCTTGGAAATTTTTTTTGCCAATAATTTTTAATAAAATTGTGTTATATGTTATCTAGATTGAGGGAAATTCCCATTTTTTGGCTAGTTATGTTGGTGTCCGCGTCATGTGATCTGACTGCGACACACTTTTAGCATATGGGTTGCAATGATAAGTGTTTCAGGAGGACTGTATCAAACTATAGGTGTTATGAGGAAGATAGGATTGTTAGAGGGTAATGCCATTTACACAAATCGTTTACTCCATATAGAAGCTGCACCTTTCGGCATAGTATCATCCGATGAAGACTTCAAATATAAACTGTGATTAAAAAAATACATGTTAATTTCACGCGGGAATTATAAATGATTGTGTTAGTTGAGGAAGGTGAGTGGCATTTTTGTACAGGTGCTGACATGATACGTAAGAGATGCAGAATAAACAACTATTATCAGTAAATGATTTATAAAGTGTTTCAAAGTCTATAAAACTTTAAATTCACCCGTAAGTACACCATAGTTGTGACATTTCCAGTTGTTTATGAGACCGACTTTGAACTTGTCAGCAGATTTTATAATATAGGTGGTCCCGTTATTCACCAGATGAGCAAGCAATATCACGAATAGGTGGAGAATAGCAGCGCTCTATCAGTACCTTCGTTGAAGGCAG